TGTTTTTGAGTTGTGTGGCCATTACGCTAGCTGCTGGTACTGAGGTGCAATTTCGAAAGGGCACTCACTGGTAGCTGGAGGCGGCCTGGACAGGCTCCGTCCCCCGGCCTTCCCACTTGGGGCTTCGGTGTCAGAGGCCTAACAGATGGGGGCTGTAAAGACCGTCCTGAAACCGCAGGTGCTGACGCCTGGCAGACAGCCGCAGAAGTCGGCACCAGCTGCTGCCTGGGCGCCCAGCCTTTCTGCACGCCCGTCACTCGCCTGTCTCCAGGGTCAGTCCGAGAGGAGAGACCACCGTGGGCACGAGGGACATGGGGGATCCCAGCGAGCTCAAAACTCGCGGTCTCCAGTGCAGAGCACCCGTCCTCCGGCCCTGGGGCGGCGCCTCGGTCCGCGCACACCTACCCCTCGATGGGGAGAGGGCTGTGCCTGACGGCAGGCAGGGGAGCCGAGGCACCGAGTGGGTCAGGGCCTCGCACTCCGCAGGAGCAGACAGCGTCAGCCAGAGCGTCCCGCGGGCCCCGGCGCAGACCGCGGGAGAGTGAGTCTCGCCTGCAGGCCTTGCCGCCACGGCACCAGGACCCCAGCTAGCACATGGCCCACCTTACCTCGTATTCCTTCAGGGTCCCCTTCCAGGTGCACCCATCGCTGGCACAGGCGGCTGGCAGGCTCTCCACCTCCCTGCGGGCGGCGTTATCTGGGAAGGCCTGGGGACAGGGATGCCAGGTCAGGCCCCTCCGACCACCTTGCCCGGAGTGCTGCCGTGCAGCCCTGGGCAGGCCCCGAACAGCAACTGGCCTCCGCACGCCGCCGCCTTCGGCCTGGGGCCCTGACTCACCGAGCTGCTGTCCAGGATGGAGATGTCGTCTTCGTATATGCCCTCGTGCACACAGGCAGCACAGTTCTGAGGGCCAGAGCTGTGGGGACGGGGGACCACGGTGACCCTACGGGAGCAGACGGACAGCACCCCCAGCCCCGACCACACGCCCAGCCACAAGTGCTCTGAACTTTCTGGAGTTTCAAACCACACTTTTGGCCATGTGGGATCCAGCTGCCTCAACCACCACGAATTCAACGACAAACACGTTAATGGTGTGATTTCTTAAAGATTTAAAACAGACGAGAAGGCAGCAGTAAAGTGCTAACGCTTTGCAAGGCAACCCCACATGGGGAGGTTCCCAGTTCAAGTCCCGAGACAGCACCGAGTCTGCCAGGCACACACACACCCAGGACCTGGGACTGGCTGGGGCAGCGGGGCCCTGGGGGTCCTCTCCCCCTCCCTCTCCTTCTCTTTGTCTTTCTTGCTCATGGAATAAACAAACGTTTTTTAAAAATAACCAAAACAGACAGGAAGACGTAAGCCCTGAAACAGGCACCTGGGGACGTGAGCCTGAGGTGACGCCCCCATCTGCACCCTGGGTGCTGTCTCTGAAGACCGCCTCCCGAGACAGACGCCCTGCGTGGGGCTCATCCTCACTGTCCTCCGCGGCGGCCCCCGGACGCAGCACAGAGCCTCTCGGGCCAGCTCCAGAGCGACGCCCGCCAACCTTGTGTGAGCAGCCAAGTCACAGGGGACCCTGACCTCGCTAAAACCGTGCTGGAAAAGAGAGAAGGCCAGCAGGCTGTGCAGAGGTTGGGGTGCTGAACCCCACATGGTTGTCTGTGCGGTTCAAGTCCCAGGGCCAGTGGCCTGAGGGTCACACTGGGGTGTGTGCGTGCCCAGAGCCTGAGAGGAGACTCCACTGGCCATGCCCCCGGTTTCTCACCTCCCCACCTCTCTCTGGTGAGTGCAGAGCCCTCAGCAAAAAACAAAATGAAAGTGAAGGAGGCCCAGATGCTAGCGTGGGCTGGGTGCAGCGGATGCGTGGGCAGGTCAGGCTCCCGTCCCAGGGCTCCCTCTGCACACCCCCAGGATCTTAGTGGGCTGCAGGTGGAATACAGCATTAAAATCCCATGGGGGAGTGGCGGCAGGTGGTGCAGTGGTTAAAGGCACCAGACTCCCACATGGCCAACCACGGTTTGAGTCCTGGACCTGGAGGCTTATTTCTTGCTTTCCCTTTTTCTGTCTCTGATCAAATTAAAACAAAAACATGTCAGGGGATACCTGTCTTTTTCTGTTTCTCACAAAGAAAGTCAGTAAATAAACTTTAAAAAAGGAAAAAATTGGAAAATTACCTTTAATGGTACCTGCCTTTAACCCACGTACCCAAGAGAGTGTCTGTTCCCCGCAATCGCCGTTCTAATGACTTTGCATGATCTGCTGCACGGTCCTCACACCAGGCCTCCGAGACCCAGGCACTCACACTGAGCCGGCAGGCAGAGCACGCCCAGCCTGGAGCCCAGCTTGCCAGGACCCACCACGGAGGGCCAGGGCCAGGGCCAGGGCCGCCCCGCCCCGGGTTGCCGGCCTACCTGAGGATGCCAGCGAGGCAGGAGGAGCAGTAGCGGTGGCCGCACTGGGCCTGCAGGGGCCTGCGCAGGATGTTCCCGCAGGCTGAGCACAGGTACTTGGCCTCTGGCTTGGTGCCCAGCAGGACTTTGGAGAAACCAGGCTGCAGCAAGTCTCGGGAGCCGGGGGGTGTCACGCCAGCCGCAGCCATGAGAGCTGGACCCCCCACGAGCTGCAGAGCCCTAAAGAAAAGCACAGACCACGTCATGCCTCAATTCAGGCTAGTTCTCTTGGGGGAATGGCTCCCCGGCAGGGAGGGTGATGGTGCCAGGACAGCTCCCGGCCACCCTAGCCTGTGATCGAGACCCTGAGAAGGGCAACGGCAGAGCGCCCGTGGCAGGTCTCTCCGCCAGGCTGCACGGGCTTG